GCACTGCAAGTTAGTAGTGGTAAAGGCACTTGCATCCCAAAAGCCAAAAAGGTAATTTTGGTTCCACTCACTGTCTCTACCCTCTGAAGTGAACCAAAGAGAACCTTTTTTCCTTTTTTAACTCTGTATCTGAGTTGCAAAGACAGATGCACTGACAATAAAGGGGAAAACATGCAGAGCTGCATTACAATCCAGTTCATCAGAAAACAGAGCACGCCTGCCTTACAAATTTGCCTGCAGCTCTTGTCTGCTCTGTTATTTTTAAACTGCCTGCAGGTTGCAGATTTTTCAGTGGTCCTTCTCCTACCAGCACACACAGAGGATTTAGCAAGGCACAACTTGCATTACTGTGAATTTATCAAAATTCCCACGACATTAAAATTCAGCATCCTTCATCTTCCCATAAACTTTTTGCTGCAATTTGCCTATTCATGAGAGGGCATCCCATGTCTCTTACAGCGTCTCTCTGTGGCAAGGTCAGTATAAGTTGGCTCTGCATTCCTGATGTTCCCAACTGCCATACCTTAGCCTGTGGAGTGCAGCCTGCAGTTGCTATAATCAGCAACCCAGGCATTGAGCTACAGACTCTGGCTCATCATGAAAAAACCAAGATAGACCCAACTGACTGAACCCAATGCTTAATTTCACAACACTTATCACTCAGACCTGATCACCTCGGCACCAAAACCGTATGCTATACAAATGAAGGCTATGTGCAGGCATGGGGCACCCTTCCATCACACATCCAGGACACAAACTTCACCGTACTCCCAGCAAACCTGCCCCACTTCTGGGGGAGGCTGGATGAGATAGAGTCAGGACTTGATATTTGTAAATGGGAGAGCTTCCATGTGCAGAAAAACTTCGTGATCCATGCACAATTCCTATAGAGAAGGGACTAACAGGAAGAGTAGTCTATTTATGTCACCACAATATCTTAAAGAAGAAAGCAATGGGGCATGTTTCAGAAACACCGATCACCACAACTGCTGCTGATGTAAACAGAAGCTGCAGATGCTCAGGCTTTCTGAGGGGTGAGACCCTGCAGCCAAATGTAATGAATATTATGGTTTGATTCCTTCTTCTCTGTTGACAAGTTTATTCTGCAGCCCAGAGCATTACTGCAGAGCAAGACCATCAGGTCAGGACCTCTCCCCTCATCTGATTTGGGATGTTTCAGACATCAAACTATTCACACTCTTGGCCACTGTTGTCTAGAAATGACTCCAGCTATCACTGTAAGAAGCCCTTTCCCAGCTTCATCAGCAGAGGCACAGCCACATTCATTCCACCCCTTTGGCACACACAGAGCAGATGACAACTGTGTGATATATGAGGAGTTTGTTTCAGATCTGGAGCTCCAGCACAGAAGCCTTTGCCCTCAGTAGGGTACAGTGAGGACTCAAAAGTAATTTTGAAATAAACAGCCAACAAGCTTCAGTCAGAGCAAAATCCTCCACCCCCCACAGGGCTGGTCAGTGTCTCCTTGTGGGACAGTGTGGGACCAATTGGTCTGTCTCAGCAGTGATGGCCAAGCAGAGCCTGACCTCCCTGTGTTGGGTAGGGTTAGGCTGCTGTGCTGTGGTTGAAGCTTGTATTCACTTGACCCTGTATAACGACTGTCCCTCATCCTTCTACATTACACAGCTAGCTAGTCTGTTGCTTATTTCTCTCTGCTGATTTGGAGAGTCTTGATTTGGCTCTTGGCTGTTTATATTTTGCAGACATCCTCTATGTAATTGCATGGCCCGGCCCCAGGCTATCAGGCTCTGGGAGAAATAACCACATTATTCCACAGAACAGTTAGCATAATTAAAATATTGACTGCAGATTAAAAAAATGTGCTGAATATTTCACAGAGTAGTTGGAGGGTTGGCAAGTCTTGGCAGCTTGTTGGCTGCAGGAACTGGCTGATATTTAGGCGCGCCTTCTCCTTCAGTATTCATTGCTGTACGTGGGAACTGCTTTTTGTGCTGTCAACTTCTTATCTTCCAAGCAGCCAACCCACAACCAAGAAAAAATGAACTGACTGGAAATGAGGAGCTCCGAGGGCTTTCTTGTGATTCTTATTGCCAGTGAGACCATTTCCTTGTTATTTATGACTTCAGGACATCTGTCTTACTGTGTATGTACCTATTTTTATTTGTGTCCATCTCTCCAAATGCACAGTGTAGGAACTGCATATGGTGAGAACGTACCAGGTGATAAAACCATTTGCTTAAGAACTGTCTGTACCATATGAGAAGCATTAATAAAGTTAAAAAGCCCACAAAAACCTCCACTGCAACATTTGTTTTAGCTACTATTCCTTGACATTTGATTTCTATCTGTATTTCATCTATAACCAAAGTCTAAGGCATAAAATCCTTACATTTCCACAACCAAGAGGGCTGAAGGGGATAGAAGAAATCTGGTTGACAGGGCTGGTAAAAACTACAGAAGCACTGATCACTACAGGGCACTTAAGCAATTCTTAGCGCCTTTGCAGTATCTCCCCATTCTCTTTTTTAGGGGTATATCTGGGATAATAACACTGCTGGAAACACACAGGTTTGGGTTTGAATGACTTGGTGCTGTCTACATCTCCTGCTATCTGGCATAAAGGGTAAAATGATCTCATGCTACCAGTGTTAAACAAAATGTGGATGATGCCTAAACCACTTTGTAGACACCTACATCCTGAATGAAATGCAGTAGGATCAGTAAGTTGCCAAGGTACTGCTTTAAATCAGCTTCTTATTTAATCTTCACTTACATGCTTGAGAAATTCCTAGAATGGTAGGAAGTGTTTGAGCAGCAGTGCAGTCTCACAAGCAAGGGCCAGGGATGGCTAGGCTGAGGCTGTCCTATTCCACTGTAGCTTCCAGGGACAAGGGTCTGATTTACAGTCTGATCTACAGCTCTTTTGAGATGAGCTAATTTTGTGAACGTTTTCATTTCCACTCAAGGGATGTCACAAGAAATGGCCAAATGCTATTTTCTGAGGCTTCTATTACAGCTTTAAAGCAATCATAATAACAAATTAGCAGATCTACTCTGCCATTTTCCATTCTCATTGCAATCTCTGTAATCAAGAGCAGCTCTACTTCAAAGCTTATTTCTGCAATACTTCTCATTTTTGAATATGCAATTAGAAAGGAGCATGATATCTTGGCACTCCAGCTGTGGTCTGTAGGCTACTGCCCTCATTCTGTGCTAGGCTCACTGCTAGTTTCGGCTCTCAACTTAATATTGACCTCCAAACTGTAAATCGTAACTATCACCTTGGGTAGACACCATTCTTTCAAAGGCAAAAATATATTTTTATTCATATTTTGAATCTCTTCTCAATTAAACCCCAAGATAAACTCTATGGAAGGAGACAAAAGATGCTCTAAATTCAGTACATAGAATGAGAAATTCACTGGGCATGCACAAGGAGGAGGGGAGGGGAGAATTGTTACAGCCTTTTCTCTGTTCTGATAGTTCACGTGGCCAAGTTTGTCTCCACTGAATGATTCATCTCTATTACCAGTCTTCTTAAAATTAAATGGAAGAGGAGGAATGTGTTCATTCCCCTGCTGCGTTTAATAATCTTCCAAAAATTGTTTCCTGTTTACTTGGAAATCCCCACCTTCATGCTGTGATTTAAGCATTTTTACCCTGTTAACTTAAAAACAAAGCCTAGAAGATGCTGTATAGTCTTTATCTTGCAGTCACATAAAGTGATTTATGATAAATGTTGTTCCAGATAGAAATTACTTGGAAATGTACATACGTTTGTAGCTCCACATTGCTTATTTAAATCATAACTGATTGTTGAAAAAGAAAAATACAAATTGTCATTCAGTTTTTATTCATGTAACGTGTCTGATGACTGATTGCAGCTTCTCTTTTAACAATCACTGTATTGCTGCTCCAATACAAATCTCAGTAAAGGCATCAATAACCCCATTTATGGAACTGTGCTACTTTGTTTCATGGTACTGGCCAGCACACTACTGTAAATAGTCAATATGTATTGTTTTGTCCAAGACTTGTCTATAAGCAAAACTTAGAGTGTATTTTCAAGACAAAATATTAAAATCACCTAAATTGCTTTTCCAGCTGAAGCATTATCTCTGAATTCCTGTGGTTTGGCTGGACAAAAGGGAAAGAATTTTCCCCTTTGGTTCCTCAAGGAATAAACTTGCACAATAGTTCTAAGATTTTACTTACGTAGTACATATCAAACAAACTACTCTTATATAAAGGATTTGCATTAGCTCACACAAGCCAGTGTGTTCTGTGTTAGCTTATGTGGAAAGAGTTCATTTAAAAGGCAGCAATATCCTGTGGTCTGAGAACAGAACTGGAAGCTGGGAATTCAGAAGGGACCTGAGCTTTCTCACACTTCCTCTCAGCTTTTCATAAAGGTTTAAATTTTTCTAAATGAACATTACATTTACATGATTAACTGGAGGCCGCATGGGCCTGATTTACAGATGTGTTAAATTTCTACTGCTCCTATTAAAGCTGTTGGGAGCTCTCAGCTCTCCATGTTTCAGAAGGCTGTAATGCAGTAACAAGGAGCCCTTGGGAGGGAGAATAACACCAGTACCTTGGTGAGTACCAGGCATGGACAAAGGTAGGAAAGTCATAGAACAAAGCATAGGGTGTACAAATTCAGGACATCCCCTTCTCTATGGGCCTAATAGCCCTCAATAATCCATGAGGGACAGCAGCAGTGGAGATACGGAAATATTTAGCATCCAGAGCGGTACTGTGCAAGACCTGTGTCAAGAGCCCAGCTGGTAGGAAGCACTGGGCTGGCACAGCGAGGATGAAAGCCTGGCTGGCTGGCATCCCTCAGCCTGACCACCGGCTCCAGCAATGCAGAGACTTTCTTTCAAAGGCTTGCACTGCTTATCTCAGTGACTAGACCGAATGCTGTTATCTGGTGAGCTTCCATTTGCCTCTCTGTTAAGTCTATGCTGAAGTTTTTTTGTCTAACAGCTGGATTCCCTCTCTTCTCTTCTCAGATGAGATGGAGCAGTCCCCTGCAATGCGTTCTGACTACTTGGTCTCAGGGATTCGAACTCCGCCAGTGAGGAGGAACAGCAAACTGGCAACACTGGGCAGGATCTTCAAACCATGGAAGTGGCGGAAAAAGAAAAATGAGAAGCTAAAGCAGACATCTGCAGGTAGGATGAGAACAAGAGAGTGATGCTGCACAGAGCAAAGCTTAGCTTGGGCGAAATTTGCCTATGTAGGAAATGTTAATGGTGGCCTGATCTAAACCTAATTCAGAGATTTCAGCACATTATAAATGAATAATGTTTAAGGCTAGAAAGAGCGCATATAAGCTGACTTCCTACATAATACAATATAGTACATTTAGAAGAAAAGGTCAAAATATGAGTGAAGCACAAGCCTTGACACAGACTGCTTTTCACGGGCTGTCCCTTCTCTAAAATAGGCTATATTTATGGCCCCAAGTATCATCACCCCTTTTATTTGAGTTGAAGACTATATAGGTCACAGTAACATCACAACAAGTGACAGGAGGGAGCTACAGCCTATAAAATGCGTTCCCTCAAGCACCAGTCTCTGCAGTGAAGGAGCCCAGCACACAGCACTGCATGCTCTTGCTAGGCTTCAGGGATGTCCCAGGAGTTTATCAAGGAGAGAAACTCACCTTTCCCTGAGCTAAGATGGTGCAATTCCCCCTGCTTGCCCTGATATCCTGTGGAGCATCACAGCAAAGGACACTACTTCCTGAGGCAGCTCCAACGTGCCATATTAAACAGCACGAAGTTTCTAATATCCCTGTTATTCTGCACTCAGTGTGATCAGACAGTAGGTTAGATCATAAATCTCAGCTCTACATGTGGGTGATTTTACAGATGTTTTAACAATGCAAAAGGCACAAACAGGCTGACCAGTCCATGCTCCCCAAAACAAAATCCTTGCAGTTCTTTCCAAGCACACAATAGTTGAGAGTAGAGGGAATCTCCACACTGTATCTTTCTCACTCCATTATATGAATACTCTGTTGTTAACTGGTGCTGTGTTATGTTACTACTTCGTGCAGTGCTGGAGAAGAAGATGACAGCACGACAAGGTCGGGATGAGCTCATTAAGAAAGGCCTTCTGGAGATGATGGAACAAGGCAAGTAAAAATTCTTCATCTTTTTTATCAGTCTTTTTCAGGACGATAGGAAACATAATTGCAAAAAAAGAAACCTAACAACCAAATTAATAAAAAGGAAAACCTTCAACCCAAACAGAGAGGAAAATTCAATATCTGAATTAAGTATGTCTTTCATCAAATTCCTCTCTGCTGCAATCAGTCCATGCAGTTTAATTTTTGATGTTTTACCATCCTGTATGCAACTCCATCTTCACTTGATTTATACATGGTGCAGTCTGAGCTGGTACGTATGTTTTATGCAATTGCTCTAAACCTAGCTAAATCCTACTGCCAATAAAGTCAGCTAAAGCTGGTATAAATATAAACTTAAACATACAGATGCATTTAGCTAACATGTACAACCCATGAATCCAAATCTCATCAAATGATACCAATCTGATGTTTTCAGCTGTCTTTCCAGTAAACCAAGTTTGTGACAAAACATATTGCCATTCTGCCTGTTTTTCATTCACATGGAAAAGTGAGGCATTTGGTAGTGTCATTTTAAAGCTTTCCTGAGTACAGACCAGGTTCAGCAGAAGTCAGTGAATGAAGGATGATAAAGTGTCAGAAACATGCATAAAGGATTGTGGTTCTGTATATCCCTGATGCAAAGCCCTGACAGATGCTCAAGGGAGACAGAGATCTGTGCAACTATTCTGTGAGATCAAGTGAGCTCCCAATGTTATGGACAACATCCCAATTGCCATTTCCACCTGAACAGAGTAAAAAAAAATAAATCCATCTTTACTTTGAAAACTTTATAGCAGAAAGTACTGTCATGAAGAAAGACTGGTCTTTTGAGTTTGACCAATCTGATAGATAGAAATTACGTTCTTTAAAACTAATAATTGAGTTTTCTTGTATGAAACAAATGCCATGCCTATAAATAGCCTGTGGGACAATACTCAGTGATGCTGTGCTGGAGTGTAACCGAGCAACTGAAGAGTCAGAAAAGAGCATTTTAAACAGAATTTTTTTTCATTGCAGTAGAGCAATTTTCATATTATTTTACTAGATATAATTTGAGTTTTATGTTAAAGTTAGAAAAATAATCTACCAAGACATCAGTTTATTCTAAAATGGAAGCATTTAGAAAGCTCGTTAATTCCTGTCCATTGAACGATTTGTGTCTCTCATAATTCTAGATCAGGTGTTGCCCTATTAACATATTAGCACTACTGGATAGAAAAACACACTGCATTTCCGCTAGGCATAAGGAAGTCCCCCATAATCCATTAATTTGAAGACATGCATATCTAGAGCTTTGAAAAAGAACAGTGAAATAAAACTTCTGTAGAGCACATTAAAAGGTAATAATAATAATAATAATAATAATAATAATGATGATGATGAATCAATAAACTTATTGCATGCAAAAAGAACTGATTGGGAGGAAAACAGGTGATACTAAGTTGCAAGATCATTTTACCAAAATTAAAATAGTTTAAATAAATACATATAGTCCAGTGAGGAGTGATGACAAGCTGTGCTTTTGAAAAGGCAGCTGCAAACAGACTGCTTATCTGTCTGCTCTTGCACAGAGCCCCTATAAATGTCAAACAAATTTTCAGTACCACCTTGATGCCCAGAAAGGCAAGAACGGCTAGCAGTCAGTTGAAGGACATTGCAGCCACCTGCAAACTATTTTTCTTTACAGTGTTGTGAATCTCCAGGGTTATTTTATTATATTATTAGTAGAAGCAGCTTATTAACTGGAATAAAAAATTGACCCAAATAATTCTCAGTAAATGATTAGTGCCCTAGTTGGACTGAGCTGAAGTGGCAGCAGTTTCAAGGCTAAGTCCTCATTTATGCAGGAAGTTATAATTGTCAAAGCAGCAATACTATGCTAAAAGACTACAGTAAATCCTAAAATCCCTCTATTTCATCAGGTTCTACTCCACTTCCAGGGACCTGATTCCTGCTCACTTTCATAAATAGCCCAAACTGGGATGAAGCTGTAGTCTGAGAAACCTCCAGATCTGCTTCATGCATTTACAATAGCTGTGTCACACTCCAGTTGCGTAGCACAAGGTCTGTCAAGCAGCATTTTGAACTGGACTATTTGGCTCAGAGCAAACCACAAAGCTAGCGCAGAATCTGCATCAATCTGTGAGCAGCCCAGGGTAAAATTGCACCGTCCTTGCTTTGGTGATGAGTCATCCTAACAGGTTATGTCACCCTTTCTCCTCACACAACCCCAAAACCCAGCTGCCCTGCACAGTTGCACAGTCTGGGCCCTTTCTGTCCTTTTCTCCTCTCCAGCTATGCTTGCACAAGCCAAATGCCAACGTGACCCTTAACAACTCCTGAACCTGAAATACAGCTTCACTCAAGGGAACGAACTTGCACTCTGTAAGAGGATACAGGGTGTGGGGTCTGACGTACAATGGGATTCATTCCCAACAAAATTAAAGCTCTACTTCTTCTGATTACTTTGCAATACTCAAGAGACTGCTGCTTTCCTTACCTGTGGACCTGAGGTCTGTGCTTTCTCCTGTCCCCATATGATATCTAAAATGCAGTGTTGGGATCCACTGCCAATCAAAGCAGCACACCCACTTTGATCTAAGCATGAGCTGATAATTTCTGACCAGGAATTTCACTGTTGTGAATCTCATATGCTCCTCATCCGAAATTCTTCCAACAGGGCTGTCTTTTGCTTGCCTTTATTTCATTAGTCATTACAATTTCCATTGGCTGGGATCTGAAGGAACTCATGCCTCTGACTGCAGTTTCGTTGTGACACAGCTGTCAGCAGTGTGCCTTTCCAAAGGATGTGAGGACTGTGCAAAGCAGAGTTACCTTGAAAACATTTAGGGAGCTTCCCGTGATATTTCTCCCCATTGTGAGTGCAAAACTGATCAGATGTAGCTGTACTTACAGCACTGAGAGATAAGGGCTGACTGTCAAATAATGCAGGCAGCTGTTAATACAGCGTTGATTATGTATAGGCTGCCTTCACAATGAGCTGAAATGTAGGCAATGAACTTTTTCCCCCTCCCCTTCCCTGTATCATAGCAACTGTGCTACTGCAAGGGCTATTTTAAGAACAGTAACTTTTCACCAAACGTGATTATGAGGCAGGTCGAGTGAGCTCAGCGTACAGAAATACTGCATCCCTTCCGCAGCATCTCTGGGCCAAAATCTGATACCTTTACCCAAAAGCACAGTAAATTACTCTGCAGATTGTCCAAGTAGTATTAGAGAGAGGTAGCTGTGAATGTTAGCTGTTTTAAATCAGTGTTCAATACACTTGTCATGATATCATTGCAAGAAAACATAGCCATGTCAGGAGCTTCCAGAAAGGAGTGTTTAGGGCCAAGAAATACAAGTCAGGAGGTGAGGGGTGGACAGAAGACATGCCCATCAGCATGGAGTGCTGGCTAGAGCAGGAAGTAATTGCTTTCTTTGGTTTGCAATAGTGGTGTAGATCTTGTAAATTCTGAGAGAGTCACCAAGTAAAAGGATAGTTTGTATTCTGAGGACTCTTGCCTGAATAGGAGAATACTAGAAAAGCCTCAGTCATCAAGATGCGTACAGCTGCAGGGATTACTGGCACAAAAATCTTTCAGAGTAAGCAAAGGGAGCAGTTTCTAGGTCTGCATGGAGAGGGATTTGAATTTCTGATCAGCTCAGTCACACAGGACGTGCTTTTCAAGGCTGAGTAACTAAAACTATGTCCAAAATCTACAGCTTTGTAGGGAATATTAGCAGCCTTGTTTTTGATAAGGCCCTAGCATTGCTGCTGGGGCAGCTGGATGGCAGTGTGTTACACACGGAGCCTGACACAAGTCAGAGATGTCAGACCAACCTGTGAACGTGCTGCATAATGAGCTCTGTTTGTGCAAGGAATTGCCTCTCCCAGAGACCTCTGATTTCCCATGCTTGTGCTCATCTCTCACAGAGCAGGTGCTTCCAGAGTACAGTGACCTTCTTGTACATGCACAACGGCCACTTACCCAGGCTGCTGGGTATGCACAGAAAAAGGTGCTCTGCTGAGAAAACTGGGTGGATATTAGTACCCAAATGTGCTGGTCTCCCCAAGTTTTGCATTACAGATGCTTAACACTGTTAGAGATCAGGTGCTGCTCTAAGACAAATCTCAGACCCCTGAGCATTAGCAGCTTTGAGACTCACTCTTCTCAAGAGGATAGCAGGAAGTTTCAGGTTTCATGGCTCATGATTTAGTTAAGATTAAATTATTTGGTGTTTTAGATACCGAAGGCAAAGCCTGCACTGGTGATGATGCCACGAGAGCAACACAGAGTGACCCTCCAGCTCCTGTGTGCCAGACACTTGCCTCAGAGGAGGTGCAGCAAGAGAGTACAATAGCAGCCACAACGAATGTGACCTCTTTTGGTGAGGAGCTTCATTTGGATGAGCTGAAAGAAGATGCAGGTATTGGATACAAAATGTTTTCAAAAAGTATATAATTTTAAAAAAATATTTCTGCTAAGCTACTTTATGAGGAGTCAAATATATCAGTACGTTAAAGGGTCAGAGCACCTTGTTCAGCTCAGCCCCATACTAGGTTATCAATCAGTACTTAAAAATAGTGATTTTTGAGACTGCTACCAAACTGAAGGACCACACGAAGCTTGGCATAATGGGGCTAGCTGGATTATGAGGTGATTCAGTTTTGGCATGGTGCCTCTTTGGTATTAGCAGTGACTGCTGTGAAGATGAAACAAGCTTCTCTTAAAAACATTGCTTAAACTTCTATGCCAAGCCTGAAATTGTTTGTCCTGGCTCGGGAGAACAATGTCAATACACAGCCCACACTGTCCATATCATCACCCTGTCTACAATATGCTGCAAATGTAAGTGAAGTTCAATACCAGGAACACAGACAAGCTAAACCAAGTTCCTTTCATGCAACTGTGCTCCAGCAGAGCTCATCTGTGACAGCAGTTCCTTGGGACCAGAGCAGCCAGGCACAACTCAGCAGCTGGAGGGTTTCCATTCACCTCCTGGCAACCAAGAAATGCAAAGCTGCAGAGATAATGCTTTATCCTAGTTTGTGAGGAGTGCCATGTAGTGATTAGAGATCTTCCTGCCCTCTGGTCAATCTTTACACCACCTCCATCTGCTCTGGTTGCCTTTTGTTCTCCTTCCCACCCCCTCATGTCCTGCTTTCTCTGGGGTCCCAGCCCCTGGCCACTTTCACCAAGCCCACCCCTACCTGCTCTGCTTTGCTGAGCAATGCTGCCTGCTTATGCCTTCAGCCTGCTTTCAGCAGCTCAGAAGGGAAATCATTCTCTAAAGCGTTTTCCATTTCTTTGCTTTATCCTTTCTCACTTCCTTTTCCTTCTGTCCTTTCCATCCTCATGACTCATGCAATTTTGTTCCCTTTTGCTGTTTTGCTTTTATATAATATTGCTATTCTGGCCCATTTGCAGCTCCACTCCACTCTTAATTGCTTTGACAACGGAAACTCTTCTGTCTCCCCAAAAGTATCTTTCCTCATGTTTGCTCATCACAAGGATTTTTTTGTAAGCTTAACAATACCTTTCCATCACCTGTCACCTTCTTCATTTCAACTACTTGTGTTATTTCATCAAGAAATATCCCAAAGCACTGTATGTGGGCTTCTAAAGGTTTATCCGCTCTCTTTTTTTGTCTCTTAAAATAGAGACAAAATAGAGAATTGGACATAGACATCCTCTATTATTACATGCCCTTAATGCTGTTTTCCTTTCTCTTCAAACTCTATCATTTATGGCTGTGTTTGGTTTAGTATCACCCTAAGAATTAATTGAGGCAAAACCCATTCATCTCCCTGTTCTTAGAACAACCAGATTAATATCTTGACCAGAATCCTTCAGGTCGTCTTCTTTTTTTTTTTTTTTAAACTGTTTTCTAGAGCATTTCATTCCATATTGCTAAGGAAATTTATCTCTGAACTTCTAATTCTTATCATTGGAACAGGCTATCCTAGAAAGATGGCATGTATTTAACCTTATGGTTCTGCAAAACCAAGTACTATGATTTAACATTTACCTTATACTGCATTCAAAATTGTGAATTGAGGGTTTTAAAACCATCCCAATTTCTTATGACTTTCTCTAATCCTAGTTCCTTTCGTTGTCTCCCTGGCACAACTTTTCCTCTCTTCTGTATTTCATTTCCTCCATTTGTTGAGGTGTAATTTTTCCAGGTTCCAAAAAGTAACAGTGGGATTACCTTCTCCTTCCTCCCTGGTCTGCGAGACTCCACTCCTATTTGTTGGAAATCTTCCTACCTCTTTCATTGCTGGCCTGTGGCTTTTACAATTATTATTGTCAATCTAGTCTTTATGTGTTAATTTATCCCGGTGTGTGCATTCTAGAATTCCTGTCTCTACTGAGACCATCTTAAGGAATTCATTGGGTGGGAAAGCTCTTCAAAATTGTCAGTGTATTGCTAAGTTTATAATAATGTTGAATTGATTATACCGTTTGTCCTTGGGCTCAATCCAGGCCCAATGCAGTAGGTGTCTTTCCACAAATTCATATGAATATTTGACCAGCTAGAAACAACATGAATATATTTTACTCTGCAGTATGAAATCTGTTAATAGGCTTGCGTACTCAAGACTCAGGTCTGCCTTCAGACTGAATCAAACATGTGCTGTTGTTACAGGAAGCAGCCACAGGAAAAAAAAAAAAACAAAAACAGAAGCAAACCATTCTTTTCAGGGAATGTAAAATGGACATTCTTTAGACAACAGTTCATAATGCCAGTTTGTTTTCACTCTCAGAACAGTATGGCGTTCAGAAACAAAAAGATCTGTCTAAGGCTGTGTGTGTTTGGGATTCACCTTCTCTATAAGAAAAGTCCTACTATGGCTGTTCCTCTACATCTGTGTCAAACAGCTCTTCATGTTACAGGGAGGTCTCCTGATTTCAGTGAAGTTACTGACAGAAGAAAGTATTGCTCCACTCAGGGGAATGCACTCAAATTTGACTAATTTTCCTATCAAACTACTAACATCTATTGGAGCTCTTGATCTTTCTGTAACGTAACCCATTAGTGACTTTATCTTTCTCTTCCTCTATTTCACATTTTCTCCTGTATGTAGTAGGCACAAAAATACAAAATGATGCCAGCCTGGCACAAAGAATTTCCCTAGAAGTATATTTAAAAGAAAATTATTTCCTTCTATAATTCCGGCAACTATCACATACATCTGTTTTCCTGCAAAGTCAAATTTCACAAGAATTCCTGTTAATGATGAATATTCATTCTACTTTCCTGTCTTTTCTGAATGATAAATACACATTCCTCCTCTTCTAGGCATACTCATTAATCTGTTTGTCAACAAATTAAATGCTATTATCTTGCCAATGCTATTGTTTCCAACTGCCTAAGTGCTCTGGTGCATCCCCATGCACTCTGAACATGAGGATGCTGAATGTTCATTAATACAGAGAGTTTGTATTCCAAACAAGACACAAAACTGAGCCAAGAAAAGATTTGTGACGTGGCAGCTATGGGTATCCACTGCTGTGATTCTAGGAGATGCCATAGAATTGTTTGGAGGGAAAGGTACTTTGTTTAGACAATCCAGAATGCTAAAAGGAATGCTATTTGCCATTTATCCAGCCCAAGCGGTTTGGACATCTCTTACGCAATACTCTGGTGAGGCCCCAGTGGCAGTACAGTGTCCAGCTCTGAAGTCCTCAGCACAGAAAAGACATGGACCTGTTGGAGCAGGTTCAGAGGAGGCCACAAAAATGATCAGAGGGGTGAAACACCTTTTCTATGAAGAAAGGCTGAGAGAATTGGGGTTGTTCAGCCTGAAGAAGAGAAGGCTCCAGGGAGACCTCAAGCTGCTCTGTGGGTCCCCATGTATGCCAAGGCAGAGATCAGGACGTGTAACAGAGTGTGAAAGTCAGAGTGAGGCACTGTGTGAGTTTAAGCACTGCCAATGTCAGCTGGTATCTGAGCATGATTCAACGATGTTAATTTTGGACTTCATCACTGAAATTCCACCTGTGTCCTGCTTCAGCTTCATGCCTTTCTGGATCTACTCCCCTGTGCCCTCATCAGAGCCAGGTCAATTTGATGAACTGCTCAGTGATTCAGCCTGCACTAACTTTAAGAGCTAAGTGCTTTTGCCATCTTTCAGCAGACAATCCTGAAATAAGTATTGCTTCACCATCTCAAATTAAGGCTTTGGTGATTGAAGTTTTTCTAAGTACTTCACCAATTCTCTGTTCCAAACTAGCTGCTGAGATCCAATGGCAAATCTTTTTTATGGCAGGCTTTTCTTGGTTATCAACTTTAACCTTAGGAAAGACTCATCAGTTCTGCAATCAGGTACAGTAAGAGAAGGCTTGAGATGCAAGTTGAAGTAATATATTAAATAAGATAAAAATTAAATTGTGAAAATAAATGTGTACAACAAACTACTGGGAGGTCAGCCTTCATATGATATTACCAGTTTGATACTCTGCCCTTTGGCTGTGTGTTTCTAGTGCAGAAGAGTACTCAGTAACTGTGCCACTGCAGCTGCATGCTGTAAGAAAATTCATTGTAGTTCTCAAAAGTTGCTTTGCTTTGCTGTCTTCATTATTAAAAAAAAAAGGAAAGGGAAAAAGGCTTTAGGGAAGTAAGAGGAAGCTCAGCAGATTTCTCAGGAACATCAAAACTAATATTTCTTCAATATCCTTATACATTTTATTCCTTACCTGCCTGGGTTGGTTGGCTATTTCACACAATAATTATTTTCACTACGGAAAAGAAGTGCTTCTAGCTGTGTGCCATGTGTTCTGGTTTTTTGACTGTTCCTGGCATTGTCCCCTGGCCTATCATTATTAACTTAATGTTCCATTAATTTTACTCATCTTCCTACTAGCCAAGAAACCTTCAGCACCCACAGAAGAATTAGAAGATGCCAGCCTGCCAGCATCTGAAGACAGTCCACAAGCCTTACTTGTATCTGAATCCACAGATTCCCCCCAGAAGCAGACAGACAGAAACGCAGCACAGCTTCCTAGCCCTCCGTTGCTCCCAGCTCCACCACCCAAGGCAATCTCCAAAATCACAAAGAGCATAACAGGTCAGTCATTCTTGGACAGTAAAGACTTTCCTATCCTTTAAGTGTTGTTTCTCTACACAGCACAGTATATAATTTTTTTCTTGCATCCTTTTTTAAGCCTATTACTGCAAACTGCTGTGAATCAGGCTAGTTATATTGGGTGAACAGAATGCTAATGATTTCCATGAACTGAGCGGTCCAGTTGCTTGATAACAACACACTAATCTTTGTACTTTACATATTTATCTGAATCTCTCAGGGGATTATTTGTTGCAAGTCTATTGCACTAAACACATGTAAAACAAATCAAACCAACTGCAAACATCTGCTGAATCAGATGCTCATATCGATATGCCATAAAACACAAGGAAGATTTAAATGTTTTCATTACCTAGACTCCCTCTGGGTAACAATACAACAGCCAAAATGAAGTTCAAGTCAATAGGTTCTGTAGACGTTTCTGTCTGAAGGGTTTGCTCTCTGGGGTAGGCCTAAACTAGAGATATGAAATCCAGTCTAGTTACACAGAACACATATAAGTGATACACCTGGCTCCCACTAAGCAATCCTCCATGCCAGACTTCATTTAATGTTTCAAAAGCAATTCCTCTGGGCCCGATTTTCTAATGTATTGCCAATGTTGTTACATTTTCCAAAATTCTGGCACTGCAGAAAGGGTGTTAAAGTGAATATGATTTTAGTTTGTTCCAATTTTAGGGCCCCTACATATGGTAAGTGCAGTTAAAAGGGCCTTATTGCAAATTAGAATCAACTCCTGACATCTAAATGTCAGACCTGTTGGATATTTAGACTTTTAAATGACAGCCATTATCTCAGCCCTGATTTGCATCCACACTGGCACAATGAATAGGGTTTTCAAAGTCACTGGGAAACAAAATATCAGAGGGGCATTGTGATCTGACCACTGGGTTTCATAGAAAATATTGAGGTTTTCAGTCTTTTTTAAGGAAAATTACAAGTATTTGTTTCCCATGGAAAATATAGATATTTTGTCCATGCTTAAAAGCCGTAAGAGTTTAAGTGGGAGCTGGATTCAAAATGATATCACAATGCTCCTTGGGAGCTGCTGTTCAGAATGATTCGACATTCTGTGCTATGGGTCAGGCTCTATCCTGCCCCTTCCACCTTGCAACATGAACAGGAACAATGAAAACACCTTTTTGACTCTGCTCAACTGATGAGAAGGACACACTCTGCATGAGATGTAGGCTGTTTGGAATATCTGAGCTGTAGAGGGTAACAAGATTACAACTTCACCAGGTACTTCACAGCATTTTGAGTCTAGATATTTTGCTTCTTAACCAAAGTTTTTCCTGTAACATTTAGGATATTCTGAATTTTGGTATTTCATTCTCATCTAAATTTTCCACAAAGAACAGCTCTTAGTTTTTTCAATGACTCCAATAATTATAGACACCTTTTCAATAGTGATTATATATTTGTTTATTTTTGTGTGGATGTGGAAGCAGTGGTAAGTTAAGACTAAGCAAATATTGTCAATGAATGAAAGGAAATACAAATGAATGGGGAGAGAGAAAGAGTGATTATGAAAGAAAAGGAAGATGAAGAGGTTGAAAATCTCTCTTGTGTTTAGTTTATCCCCCCTTAGCAATGTTAGAGATGCTTTTAGCAGAGGAGTGAGAAATAAGCCAAGCACCAATTAATCACAGAGAGAGGGGGAACAGGGCAAGGTGCCAAGACATCACTTAGCAAGATTATTCACTGAACAGCTGTCATCAGGACAAATAAGGTGTGATCTAAGGAAACTCTCAACTCTTAATATTGGCCTAAGCTGCAATGAGGACAAAATTGGCCCTTGACCTGTTCCAGGAACAAGCAGGTATAAATAAAGGTAAAACAATCTCCTCCCTTCCTGCTTTACGGTTGATCTGAACCCGGGGTTCTTGCTCTGTGAAAACATGGACACCCCCTCTCACTGTGCAGTGGTATAAAGTGATTTAAGAGGTGGGATTTTTCATCCCCTCAGGCCATGATTGATCATAAACGTCCTTTCTGCATCTCCACAGTAGCACATGATCTAAATCCCCTTGAGTGCCAAAACCCATATTTGCTTAGCAGAGGTTGGCTGACTCCTAACTGCAGCAACCAACCTGACCAGTGCAGGAGGAGCTCGGGGGTGAGAAGGTGTCTCATTGTGAAGACATTGCATATTGGGCACCTAGACACTTGAAGAAATGCCTTTGGGCTTTCAGACCTTTCAGATTTTAAATAGGGTGACTTTTGGACTAGCTTGACCCCTGTCTCCTGGATGCGTAGATTGATGAATGAAGCTCTGGCCATTCACTAGGGTTTTGGGTAGGAGGGAGAGAAATGTGCAAAAATTCCCTCAAAAAAAAAAAAAAAAGTTAGACCTTTCTTAGAATAAGAGAGAAGATTTTATTGTGGATGCAACTCTATTTATTGAAGGATGCTCTCCTCTTCACCTCACAAATCTGAAAGAGAGACCAGGCTTAGTGTTGTCACTCTCAAATTTTTGATATTTGATTTTGGTTATGGCTATGGGAACTCTTGTTCCTACTTGTGCTTTTGCTGGTTTCCTCAGTATATCTACCCCCAACCTCCAGATGCCCAGCTCTGTTTGCAGCACTGCCCTTATGAATCTGTACCAGATTTCCAGCAAAGAATTTAAGAAAAGGCATGTAGTTGGTAACCATTATGCAGGATACTGGGTGTGAGAGGAAATATTTAATAATTGAAGTTAATATTCAAACCTACTTTTATGCTCTCCAGTTTTCTAGTAAGTTACCCTGCTAATAGGAAACAAGTCTTTTTCACATGGGTATTTCAGGATAATCCTGGCCTGAGCAGAAGTTTTTCTCTGCAATGAACTGAAGGATTTATCTAAAAAAAAAAAAGTGAAAAAAGTAAAAATCTGTGAAAACAAGTTTGTACAAAAGCTGTACAAGCTATGTCAGTTTAAATTCCTGTTTAAAACACTAGGTGGCAACAGGAGAAAAGAAATATTCTTTAGTGCGATGAACTCTCATTGCCTTTTTACACCCAGACTGAGCTAGTGGTGTAAGCAACGCCATATGCCAGAGGCTTGGGATGAAGATATAAGGGAAAGGGAAAAGGGGAAAGGGGAAGAGAACTGCAGAACAGAAAGACTAATCAGCATCTTTTTTTGGGCCAGATGTTCAGTTACCTTAAAAGTGTGAAACTACCAAATTTACAACCAAGGAAATACCCACTGTGGTTTAGACTCAGGTGCTAGAGAAATGTGTCTCTCAAAGTCTAATTTCCAACTAAATGGTTACATTGCATAAAAAGTATCTGAATCTGGGGGTAAAAAAAAAAAATATTAGATTGCCACACCCTTCTTTTTTCTTCTTAGTGCTCATTACCACATCTTTCAATTGGATTTAATTTGGCAAGTTTTGTTATGTGAACATTATCCTCATATTATAATGATTTTGGCATTTCCTCAACTGGCATATGAAAGACAGAGGTCTAAGCTGTGCAGCAATCACAGAGGAGCAGATAATAGACACTGGTACATTTTGTCCTGACTGACAACACAGTGCATAAATTTTAATACGGTCTGCCAGAGTCCAGCAGAGAAAGTGCTAGATTGGAAAGCCACCACAGTACAAGCCATTGGTGGTTACGAAGAACAGTACTGGCAGTCAAGAATGCACTGATGGGCTGGGAAAAAGGAGAATCTGATACTGTGGGAAAGAGGGGAAATGGCCAAGGCATCTATTTTGCTAGATCAGAGATCTAGATCTGTGCAGTATGAGCCTTTTGAATTCAGATAGTTACTCATTTTAACCAGTTACCTCATGCAGACTTTGTGTGCAAAAAAAATAAGAAGCATTACACAACATCTCATCCCTTTGTGTTTTGACAGCAGGAAGTGAAATAGATGACCCAGCCATGAAATCTCCTCCTTCCACCATTCTGAAGAATTACGTTGTTGTTGGTTCCTCCCAAATCTCAGGACAAGCTGCTCTCTTCCATCCCTCTGGCCAGAAAAGTTCAGATCCCCATGTCAGAGGACAGGTAACAACGCCAACCGGTTCCCCCCACCTGGCTGCCGTCCACCTGCCTTTACCTCCCAGCAGAGTCATCGAAGAACTCCACAGGGCTCTGGCCACCAAACACCGGCAGGACAGGTACCTACAGCCTCTTGGCTATAGGGGTGCATGAGGAGAGTCACTCCACTGAATAATTTTTTGGTAAATGTTCCTACCCCATTACTAGCATTTTATTTACTCCTACAGCTTGGGTTTGCCTTTTTCTTGATGTCAATACTTTAAACATCCATCCCCAGTTAAAGTTCTTAATTTGGCAGTTACTTCAAAGTATGTTCTTCCTCTATAAGGAGGCTACTATGACACTGAGGTAGGTTTTCAAACAGGTGAAATAATTTGATAATCTTTACCTATTGCAAAAGAAAATCTTCCCACAAGATACCAGGTTAGAGTAGCTAAGGCATACCCTGCTATAAATATCAGTACTCTACATATGAGAAATGCTGCTATTTCAGTATATGTCTCTTAGCTTATACATGAGCATATACAGTATCCATTTTTAATACAAATGCTTGTGTGATAGTGCATTGGGTACTTTGTCTGTTTTTCATTATAAGCTCTCTTGTGTATTAGAGAAGGACAGAGATAACCTTTTCCACCATAGAGCTTTGGAGTTAAGTTGGTAACATTTCTCAATTCCATAACAGCTGTTGTCATGGGGAATAGATTCATATGATATTATTTCCAGGCACTGTTAAACCTTTGTCATGATCATAAAATATCAGAATGGTAATACTTCACGCCATATATGTTTTACATTAGAAGGATATGCTGTGTGTTTTTTTTTTTTTTTAATCAGTACAGTATAGAATGTGGCTACATATCAAAGAAAAACATTAGTCACCACCCTTCCAGACCTTATTTTTAGGACAGAGATAGGAAAGTAGATCCACGTTAGCCATTCTCAACACAGTCCTGAGAATGTCATCCCATGTTGTCCCATGTTGAACTCTGTCCTGGCCTTTACGAGCTATAAGACATTCTGCTCATTCTCATATAACGATAAGTTCCAACTGTGGCAATAAAACAGTCTTTTGTAAAAACTGGGCTGTGCACCTTTCACCCACAGCTTCCATGGAAGAGAAAGCAAAGGCTCTCCAAAAAAAAGAGTGGATGTCCGTCCATCCAGAACATCTAGCATTGAGCGCAACAAAGAAAAGGAGAACTCGCTGAGTTACAGCAGTGATTCAGAAAATAAGCGGAACTCAGTTAAAGAGTCAGATGAGAACAAAGAAAACATGATCATGAACTCAGAGCTCAAGGAAGACTCTGTTTTTTATCAGGATGAGGAAGTTTTGAATGACTCCATTATTTCTGGTAAGGAAAGTCACTTCTTATAAAATATACTACTGTAGCCTGATGGAACACTCTAAATGAGGCAGCATGCAACAGAAAATATTGAGCAGCATAAACTCCTCTATTGTCACATCAACTTTTTCAAGGAATCCTGGTGAAATGCTGATGTTAAATTTGAGTCACAGTGATTGTGATCATGTTTGTCTTGGTAGTTACTGCACACTAAGATGCCTTTTAGAGTTACGTTGATGTCAATGTATCAGTATGCTTTACCTCTTCAGTTATTTATGTACCCTTTGTACTAGTATATATGAATGGCAGCACTTGCAAACACATCTCACTGTGTGTAGGCAAAGCTTTCTGTGTACCCGGTGCCAATGCTGTGGATGTTTTGGAAGCATCCCATTTTGGGACTATTATTCCAGTGCAGTGATGGTACAGTGAAAAGTGGAAAAGACCAATGGATCTAGGAAGGACAAACATCCACATAATATACCTTTAAGAAGAAAGTTGCTTTCCATTTGGTCCATTTTACCCTTTTCTTGAAACATATGGGGAAGCACTGTATAATACTGAGCAATTATTTGAGTGAGCTTTGGCAAAATAATCAGCTCTCATTAGAAAATCTATTTTTCATTCAAGCTTTTAATGTTTTCCATGTCAGCAAGACAAAGGTTCAGTCTGAGCTGAATCCTTCAATCTCTTCATCAATGCATTAAAAGAAGGCAGGCAGAGAAAAATTCATCAAAAAATAATTGTTATAACAGATGAAGGATGAATTTTAAAAGGTGCCTATTAGAAAGTATGAGCGAGCAGATAGCACATGAGTTCTGCTCCTGTATCTTAAGACACCTAGTAACAGAATAGACTACTGAGATAAGGCAAAATAAAAGAGAATCCTTTGCATAATTCATTTAAGGATGACTTAAAAAATATAAATCACCTTTTAAGTTCTATCTATTTTTTTTTTTGATGTGTTGTATAAAAGTGGTCTCCTTTGGTATAAATTTTAAGAGCTAGAGGCAGCCAGGCAAAAAATATGTATCTATTTAACTCTATATATTTAACAAATAATTATTCACTGTCTGTGAAGATGGAAGTTACGATGATAGAAAGACATTGGTTATTGTACACAATTCAGTGATATCCAGAAGCAGCTCTTGGCTTTCCACAATAACATTAGGGTTCCGAAAATGTTATGCTTACTACAGTTGAACAACAGTGTTGTTGTATTTGTGATGGCTTAAGAATTGTTTAAACACAGCAAGTTTTATAGGGCAATATTGGGAAAACTGAGATGGTGAGAAAAACAGACCTCTTTCAGAGATATTTGGGCTTTATTGTAGCTGCAACAACACTGCTGCTCAGCACAGAAGACACTGAAATCTGCCATTTGAAATATTGGCTACACAACGTGAAATAAAAGACTGAACAGAAAACTTTTATCCCTTAATATAATTTGATTTAAGAAAATATTATGTGAATGTATAAATCTATAAATCTTACTTCATACAATGGCTTATGTACTGAGCATGACTGGTCATGTATTATGACTGGGTAGGGCATACCTACTAGAAATTTAGAAAAATAATATCTGATAGTAGAAAAATTATTAAATAAGTTTTCGAATAATATGTGAGTACTACAAAGATGTGAAAGCTGGATGGAAAAGCTTATAGGACTATATGGTAAATATAATGAGGTGGGGCTGATACATTCTTGAATGTTTTAGTCAATAAGATTAACAGCCCAAATTTAAAATGTCAAGGGCCAGAACTACATCTAGATTTGCTTCCCCAATTCTCGTGATGGTGTCCTAGTAATAGAAGTGCATGTATAGCCAGCCAGTTAGATGTCTTACCTGAACGGCTGAAAATTCAAAGGTTTTTTTATGAAATTAGGTAGTGTCGTGGTTATATACAGATTAGTATTTACCTGCATATGTACACTGAGGGCAAACAGAGCAAAGAAAGATTATTTATCATTTGATAAAGAGGCCCCAGATATGAATGCAACCAGGTTTTCCATGCAAAACACTTTCCAATATCAACAAAAATAATTTTTAGGAAAAATTTTCTCTCATTTCTTTGTTTGTAGCTACACAGCTTTCTTCCTTGTAATTAATTTATCTCACTCTTTGGCATTCAAGTCTTTTCACAACTAAACTTCAGTCTCTACACCAAGAAGTCTGTTACACACACCCCTAAAACTTACACAAGTCATCATAAGACTTGAACTTTATGCATAAGATCATTTTATTTAAAATGGATGAAGATTATTGTGGACTGCCTTGTCCTTGCAGGTTGTAAATGTGCATTTACAAAAGACCTAATTTCTTGTACAAGCCTGGTGCTTGTTCTGCTGGTGTTTAAATTCAGGCACATTTTAGGGGCAAAACACAAGCCATGCAAAATTTCAGCTGTTTAATGTCTAAGGAGGCTGCCATGGATGGGTACTGGGCAAGCTGGGCAACACAGCTGCTTAAACCACAGAAGTCCTGGTGTGGAGAGGTATGACCTTAGCCCTTGAGGAGACAACAGCTTTGGGGATGCGACCACTGTCCAGTTACACAGCACAAGCTGGGACATAAGCGAGACATTTCTGGTCTTGACACTGGGTGGCACTGCTTGTGCCAGCATTCATTCAAATGCACCCGCTTGCATTTCAGAGAGGAAGGAGAGATGCAGTAGTGACAGGGATAGCACCAGAATAATTCCCTGAAAAGCTCCACATTCTTTCTAGTTTTAAAAATCTGGGCTGGTTTACAAATCAAAAGGTAAAACTATCCATTAATCCAAAGCTGCTTTACAATTAGAATACTGCCTTAGTACGTCACCAACTCTGCCAGTGCCACTGCGATTCACAACACTGCCTCAGTGCAACAGCCCCATGGGTACAGGTCACAGATAACTCTGGAAAAAGTGAGGAATTGTACCTTGGCCTTCCATTAGCGATCTACTCAATAAATCTTTCTCTGAAACCTCTAAAAACACAAGGTAAGACGGTACTCTTGTGCATGAGCTTAAAAAATAATCTAATTAGCATGTAGCCCACAACTGATAACTAGTGCAAGCAAGGTCTTTCCATCAGCATGCAGTATTAAGATTTGCCTTTTGCCTGACAGAAAGAACACTAAACATACAGGAAGAGAAATGTCATGATTCAACTGAATTAAAGCAGGGACTTTTGTCAGGAACCTGCAGACCAAGCATGAAAGGGGTGTGAATTATTGTTGACCTAACTGAGCTGCCATAAATCATGAAACAAGCCACAGCCAAGATCCTGACTGAGATAGCTTGGTCATGGGGCAGACCAGCATTGAACATGCCTTATTGACCAGGAAAAATAACCCTTAGAAAGAAAATACTTAAATAAGAGCTTACTTTCAACTGAGATAATGATCAGGAAGGAATTTGCCTCAGGGTGCTGAAAATGGATGTGGGCAAAACTAGTTTTGGGGTTCATTTCCTGTCTGTTCTCTGCTTTTTATTTGTTTTTTAATTCTGAAACATCAGATATGTGTTTCTGCAGCAGGTGGAATAACAGAACTGGCCATCAGTGTGCTGATCAAGATGAAAACAGATTTTCCCCGCATGTCTTCCTGAAGGGTGTAACATCATCTCCCTCTTTTCACTTTCTAGGGCAGGTATTATTTTTCAGGACTTAACCCAATTGGCCAGGCAAGGCAAATGACTCCTTAGACTAGCAGATGAGCTTAATCCAGATCCCTTGCATTTTTATTTGGTGAAATACCCTAAAGATTAATCAGTACCCAGTGCATATGGACCATGGGAGTGGCTATAGCATAAGCCTTTTAGAAATCCAGACATCTGGATGAAGTGAGCACAGCTTATCTTGAGTAGGTTATATGCTCTCCACTCTAATACAACAGCAGGATTTGGGTTAAAGTTGATTTTTCAGATATGATTTGTGTTTTTAATTTCACAAAGTAGTAGACCCTTTCTAAGTGTGCAGCAGAGCAGCCTAGGAGCAGCCAAGGCCCTGAAGAGCAGCTTCATTTTAGTTTGTTTCAAGCAAAATATTGCATTGTTCTGTCTCACTTTGAAATACAAGCCTCTAGGGCATAGACTGAGCTAGCTTAAGCCAATGTCTCCACATCAGCTTCAAAACCTGACTTCTTGCAAAAAGGTCCATTCTTTTAACTGCAGAGCATCGGTTTCAGCTGGCCTTCAATGAGATAAGGGACAGCAGAAAATGAGCCCTGACATCATCTGAGCAAATAATCACTGTGATTCAAGCCCTTGCCTTCCCACAATTCAAAGATCAGGTATAGTATGGTGTGGCAAGTAGTTTTACAACAGCCTGAAGGGAAGAGGGATAGTCCTACCTGCTCATATCTTAGTTGTCACTGATGAATGGAAGAATAATGACTTAGGGTGTATCTCCAAAAACCCCCAGTGTTTACTACATATGTAGAGCTCCCTTATTTCCTCCTAAGCAGTTCTGGACAGAGACATATGCATATGCTGTATAGTGTATACATATATTGCTTTCAGTGCACCCAGGATGCACTGAACTGCATGCAAATGCACTACGCAGATGGCCAGCACATGGGTGGGACGTCTATCATATTCTGGAGACATTGGGTTTAATGTGCATGTGCAGTCTCTCTGCAGCAATCTCCTGACATGATCAGATTCCTCTTACCACCTGTTTAAAATCTGCAGGTGAAAATGAGAACATGTTCAGGGATACCCGTGAATTTGCTAGCCCCAAATGTGTTTCGGATTGTTTCCAGAAGGAATTCTGTTGGTTCCTGTGCTGTACGGATTCAGTGCTGCAAACGCCCACTCTGCACCCACACCCAGTGTGGTGGAGTCTTGAAAAACTGTCAGAGTCCCAAATCTGTGGTTTTGTGAGCCAAATGTTTCTGATGGAGTCATATATTCAGTTAGCAGAAGGCTCTGTGTGGCATCAGCCAAATCATTTAACTTCTTTACCCATCTGTTAAATGTATACCTACTACTTCACAGAGGGCTGGGTGGTTTAATTTAATTAATGTTTGCAACAGACTTTGAAAGAATCAGGAAGAAGGTGCTAAACAAGGGCACAGCTTTTAGACTCTAAACGGGGTTTTGAGCTGATTATGGTTTCAAAAAAGTTTAATTTTAGACCACTGCAACTATCAAGAGACTTGTTCCTGCTTACACAGGGAAACCGTAACTACTTTCTGCCCCAGTCTTTCCAACATGTATGTGTGGATGTGATATAGACTCTTCCCCTCTGCATAGAGAAATTTGAGATCAATAATGATGATGATGATAATAATAATAATAATGATGATGATGTAGGTCCACAGATCCCTAGCATGTAAAACCCCAATATTTGGGAATGATAATCTATTTAGGATTTAGAATCTTGCCAACCTCCAGAGCATCCTTTAAAAATAGACTTTAATCCTATCTCAAATGCCAAACAAAAATATCAATTAAATGTCATTTTCTTTAAAAATGAGGTGACCTTTTCTAGAAAAGGTGAAGCATTAAATTAAAAAAAAAAACAAAAACAAAAAAACAAAAACCCCGCACCTTTAAAGTAAAAAGGAATCAAAACAAAATAACCTATTACACACCACGCTCCCAAGGTGAAGCAAATACAAAGATCTAACTGTAGTTTCTGCATACTCTGACAATACTCTAAACCCCATCTGACTGGTGCTACTCTGCAATAATTTTCAGACTCTGCTGAAGCCCTGGACACGACACCAGAAAAGCCAGTGCAGCACAGCAGAGGTGTGCACGGATCTGGTGTAAATTTACTTGTTTACAACCTATGTGTGACATGATTGCTGGAAGACTGCTGTGCTACCAGTATGATTCAGCAGCTCACTAGATTTATTAGCACTTCCCTCTTCTTTTCCCCCCATCATAAGCAAGCTACCCCTCATCAAATATGGGTATCACCTCAGACTTTCAGTCTGCATTTGAAAATAAAGATGGATTTCTACTTTACAGCCATTTTATTGCGTACCTTTCCAAACATGGGAAAATGGTTTTATAAGCTCAGGAGTCCAATTTTCATTTGTTTAGCATGCTGAAGTCTAAAGGGCTGCACCAGAGATACAGAAACACTTAAGCTCAAACACAGCTCCCTCTAGTAATGGGGAAAAGATGTTTCTAATATCATCAGAGGGGCAGCATCAAGGACTCAACAACTAGCACACTGAAGAGCAGTAGACTCCTACTCAAAACAGTTGCTGCATGTTCTCCTATGAACTATTCTTTTGTAAAGGCAAAGTTTTAAGGTTGTCTGGTTTGATGGAAAACATTCGTAATCATATTTTTACAATAAGCACAAGAAGTCATGAAATCACAGTAAGCGTTTCTGTCTCTTACTGCCTGAATGCCCAATTAAGTTGCCAACATTTTGCAAATCATCATAAAACCTAGCCTTTTTCTTTCATTCCTTGGTATATTTGCCCCTGCTCTCTTCATAAGGAAAGGCCTAATGTCAAACAGTATAGTATTGATTGCTAAATTAAATTCTATTATGACACTGTCACACTGGACAGGATATAGTCACACATAATGGCTTACATAGAGCGTTAGTCACACACGGTGTCTGATCACAATTCTGATTTTCTAATTTCTAGTGCCAGAAAACTAGAATACCATTTTATATTTTTTTTTCTATACATATGTGTGTGCACGCACGCATATATATACACACATGCCAAGCAACAACTTCAATTATTTCAGTTACCATCTATTCCTGTTATACTTGGTGACCCAAAGAGGAAGGTTTACATGTCCCGGCCACTCCTGCCACTGAGCGATCCAGTCCATCTGCAGAGGACTAAATGGTTCAGGAAATAGGGATTGCTCTGGGATATAGGGATGCTCAGAGGCCTGTGGCAAGGTGCACAGCCTTTTACTTCTAAACTAGTGACGTCAGTCGTGTCTCAGCTGCAAATTTTCACCTGAGAGCACTGCTTGCTTATAATGGATAGCAAAGGTAACAGAGGAATATGATCCTTCCGCATTTGTAAGCAGTTTTGTGTCTGAGCCCTGCACAACTGTAGTGCTACTTACTTATATTAATGTGTACAATTGCTCATTGCCCACTAACATACAGATCACTGTCACTGTGTAGGTTTCCTGCTCTTCATATACTCGTGTTTCATCTCCAGGACCTGTCTTTCTAATAACTTTCTTTTCAATGCGTGTCCCAGGTACTTTGCCAAGAAAATGCAAGAAAGAACTGCTGGCAGTAAAATTACGGAACAGACCAAGTAAGCAGGAGCTGGAAGACAGGAATATTTTCCCAAGGAGGACAGATGAGGAAAGACAGGAAATCCGGCAGCAAATTGAAATGAAACTCTCAAAGTAAGTCTATCTAAGAACAGGGAAGAACTTCCCTTTACAGTGGAGCATCCTCTGAGTACTGTCAGACAAGACACTGTCACCCACCCCCAAGTCCATTTCCTGCAGTGAATCATACACAAACTAATACAGCACATTTTCAGCTGTCAATCTGCCACATGAGAAAAAAATCTTAACTCCCTCTTCAGTCAGGATTCCCTTGATTTCAATAGAAAACAAGATAGAAGTGAATGTGGGAGACAAAATTCTGCCATATCTACCTGGAGGCCCACTGACATAATCAAGATTTTGAGGTCCTCCAGAAAGGCTAGTGCTTTAACAAAAATAATAATATACTTATTTATTAACCTGATTTTGCTTTGTCAACACTAGCTGAATTTGAGGATAAAGGCAATTGTTATGGCTCCATATTTACTTGAACAAGGGAAAGCTGCTGTATGCATAGGTGGCTATATTTTTGCTTTAAGGAAGAAGCAGCTTCAGCAGCGTTGCCCTAGCATGGGTAAAGTGTTTGTGTAAGCCCAGCTGCAGGGACAGCAGGGATGGTCTGGTTTTGATCAGTAACCAGGGCAACAGGGTAAAGCTATGAGAGAAACAGCATTACTGTGGCATGTAGCCTAAAGCAAAGATTTATGGTAACTGTGAGGTTCAGACTGCACCATTTGGTTTTTGTGTGTGTTTTTTTAAGAGCTACATTTGGATATCTGCAAACATGAATATTTTAGATGAGACAAAGTGGATTGTTAAATAATCTGCTGTGCCTGCCCACACTGGGACAGTGAACACTGCTTGTAACCAAAATGCTTGGAATCAAATCGAGAAACATGAATGGAAGTTCATTTTCAAGGCTTATTAAATATTGAATATCTCAAGCCTCTCCTGAAAGAAACATTTATTGATATTTAGACTAGCTCATTCATGTGTGTGCATTTGATTAAACTTTACCTCAGGGGACAGGGAATGAGAAGCACGCATATGGATTGGAGCAAAAGTCCTAATGGACCAGAGGTTATGGAGGAAAACATCACTGCCATCACCACGCTTGCCCTCAGCTAAGAAATAAGCTGAGTGAACACAGATGAGATTTTGGGTGCACTTCACTACGCCCCTGCAACGTTGAAGATGGAGTAATCACTTTCCTCCAGTTTCAGTGATTTCTGTTTATTCTTTGTAGCATGGTAGCACTTTACACCCAAAGGAGAACAGTGCATTGTGCCAGTAACTGCACAAGACAGAGCAGACAGTCCTTGTCACAAATAAACATGTGCATCCCATAGAAGTAGATAATATCATATTATAATTTACATTAAATTCCAAGAGTTACAGGCAGAGAAAGCCATAGATATGCCATACTAATAGCCATCGTTTTAGGCAGGAAGGTGTCATGAACTTTGACCATGGCCTTGATCATCTTGACCTTGCAAGCCTTGTGTATTCATTTCCGGGAAGTACTTCAAGCTGCACTCCAATATTGTTAATTCCAGTATTTTGGCCAGTCAATTGCTCATAAAGTGTCTTCATAGGTCAGGAGCCTAATCTTAGGTGGTTTCCTCCCCACTGCATCCCTAAAACTAAGTTCAGCCATCAAAGAGTATTCCCTGAGTGAGAAGACTGTCTCATATCCAGCCACACCTCATATTGCTGAAGTGCCTAAAAGGTCACATCTCTTTTCAATGTAGCCTGACTTCTCTTAGAGTGAAAGTTCTAATGGAATTGCAGCTTCGGGTGGTATAACTACAGGCTTTATATCTTTCTTTCCATTTACCATTTAGCTTGCTTAATATTGAGCCTAAATAATTAATTTAAAGGAGGCAGACCTAAAGTCAAGTGTCAGTACAAGGACTTAAAAAGGAAAACTGCTCTGCTGGTGAAGAAAAGGGCTGGTCATTACTAGCAGTTAGGAAATGTAGTGCCTATAGGTAAATACAGTGCAGGAAGCCTCCATACTGTCTGCTGCAGTCTTATGGAGCAATCTGTGGTACAGGCCATTAGTCTCATTGGTAATTCTAGAGGATGGCTAAAAGCCACCTTTGTTCCAAATGCTGGAAGACAGGCTTTCATTTAGCTCCTTCTTCCTGGAACATGGAAGATTCAGCTCATCTCGGGGAACAGACGGTGCAGAGATTGATGGAATAGCCAGGAATGGCAAAACAGATTGGAAGCAATCTCCCACACAACTTCCAGCACATATGTGCACTGGCAGAGCTCAGCTCAGCTCTTAACTCATTCACCAGAATAGAACATGACCGTGCAAACAAGCTCAGGTGGTGGATGCATGCAGGAAAATATTTACACCAGGAAAAGAATGTATATGTCCAAAAAAACCACAACCCACCTCAAAGTAAAAATGAGTACTGGTAAAGGCCAAAGAGACAAATCCCTAGAGATATCCCTCTAGAGTTTCTGACTAGGACTGACTAGGTCTCACCCCACAAAACCCAGACTGCCGCAGAGTCCCCACTCAGAGCACACCCTGGCAGTAGTGTGGAAATGTAACCACACCAGGGAGAGTAAAATTTATGGATGAGATTTTGAGGTCTTTAAAAACATTAATTTTACTGGTAGTTTTGCAGCATGGTTTCTTTGTGACAACTTGGAAGGTTATAGCTAAGGAATGTACTGCTAAGACTTCATACTTGAAGTACTGAGCAGGATATGGGATCCAACAGAAATGTCTGTTCTCTGTATGACTTTGCCACTGCCTATGCAGATAAGAGCATGTTACTGCTGCTGCACTAGTAACACTTTAATAACAGCAATGGGACTTGACTGCTCATTTATGAATCCACATCTATCATCAGGCCATAGACCTGTACTTTATCACAAAAGAAAAACATATGGGCAGATTAGTAAGTAGTTATTTGATGGCTGTCTGCATAAGAATGGCAAGTAAACAGGCAGTTGTTTTCAAGATCACTCTTTTTCAGCACATTTGTAGGGATTTGAAAGTCTATAGCTGTCTAGCAAATTGCCTCAGTCTCAGTTACCACAGCCCAGCTCTGTACTCCAGAGGAAAAGCTGTGCTGATGTATATAATGCACAAAATATACCAAATAATAGCGTCTATGTAACTTCAAAAATGGGGAGACAAAAGAATAACATTCTCAAAACTGCTGTATTTTTAAAATGCTTCTGGTTGTAATACATTCCAACAGTAGATGTGAACCTGCTGAGAATATCATGCTGATGAGTGTTAATGCAGTCAAAGCTAAAATCCCTATTTTTCTTCACTTTCCCACTCATTTGATCTCAAAAGAGAGATTGAGGAATTCTGTTATATCTTTTTGGGCCAGATTCTACTTTTACAGCAGTGGAAGTCCACTGACTTCAGATTTATTATTGATTGACAGCAGCATGAGTACAGATTGAAGTATTCATTTATGTGCACTGCTGCTTTTGAAAAGTGCATTTCCCATATTTCGTGCTCCCAGCCAATTTAGTCTACCACTTGTTGCCGTGGAAACATGCATTTCTCCCTCCTCCTCCATCTTCAATGGCACTACTCCATTTTCCCCAGATTTCCCTTTCCAGTAGTGTTTCTCTTATTAATTCATGCATACCCAGTGCCCCAGGCCATGGTGTGCACTTGCAATATCTGACTGTGCATTAGGCAACAGGGCTCCCAACAGGTCTTGGTTCCCATTATTATGTGTTCGGAGTGAAGATAATAAGCCCTCAGTGGAATTCAGTGAATTGAGAGCTCTTTGTGTCAAGAGGCAGAAAATACATTTGCAAGTACGATTATTTGCAATAACTGCTTTCTGCCTTACAGATTCACTTTGTCCTAGAAGGGCTTTAAGCTGAAACCTGGGGGAGTAAAAGAGTTGCTAGACTGAAAAGTGACGCAGGAAAAGGTTGCTTAATTAAATTTGATATCTGACTGTTTAGAAAGTTATGTTTGAACTGCCTGGGTGGCTGGTACTTCCCAAGTACGCCTTGTATAACCACGGTTAAAGACACTCCATTATTACTTAATGTTTCAATGAAAACATGAATTCCTGGAAAAGATTGTATTTTCAGTTTTCACTTCATGTTCTGTTACACCTCCTTGGATATTTGCATAAGTAGACGTGATGTGTTAAGTGACACTTAAAGGATTACAGAGACAAGAATTCAGGTAGAGAAATGGGGACATCAAAGGAGTCAGACAGGAAGAATGATGGCTTTGTGGACACAGAGCGGAACCAAAACTCAAGCACCTAAACCTGATCTTTACCACATTGAAAATCTTGGCATGGGTAGGTGGATCATGCTGGGGCAAGGTTTATTGGCAATGTAAAGTGAAAAGGAGGTATCTTTATTCAGTACTTCAACACATCTGGAAATCCGTAGTTCCATTGCTGCCCTGAGATTCTTGGAAAGGCATTTTTGAGTTGATTTGCTCAGAAACTGCAGACGTAGCTAAATGCACACCCAGATTAAACCCTGGTTTGTACCTCAGCCTCACGTAACAGAGCGTGAAGTTCACAGTGCTGCTGGAGACAGAACAATATCAAGCAAAGAGCACTTCAGATTTGCAGCCTAAAAGCACAAAGTGTGACAGTTCAACACAGGGCAGTCATAAAGGAAAATTTTACCTATTGACGAAACAAAAGCTGTGCCCTGTTTCCCAAGAATAGCATGTCCAGCGCCACTTCCTCACAGAAATGTCTCGGTGCAGCTTTTCTCACTGAAAAGGCATCAGCCCTTCACACAAAGAGATTCAGTGGGAAACTGGGCTGGATCCATAGAACGTTGGGGGAATATTTTATTGGATTTCAACCAAAAGGGGTAGGGGTGTGTATACAGACTAGTAGTAGACCTAATGCAGAAATTAAGTAGATACTGAACTGAGCCCAGTTGAAAAATTAGCCTAAATTCACCTGGAGATTATGAAGGTTTTTTGATGAAGCTCTGACAGTGCTCAAACTCCCATTTATTGAAGTAGAAATCAGGGAACTGCCCTGATTTCAGAAGGCTGGGAAGACTTGACACAGATTTATTTCAGAGACAGAAAGGCAGGG